TTTCCTTGATAAATACACTATTATATGTCATGGGAGTCAGTTATATCATATTCTAAAACCTTATTTTTTATTAGTTATCAGTTTTTGTACTAGACTTTTTGTTACTATCATCTTCTTCATCATCATCGTCATTACTTTCTTTGTGAAATGGTGGTGGAGATAAAAAAAAACAAAGAAAAAAACAAAAGGTTTCCCAGAAAAAAACTGCATATAATTAAGTTGTCAAGCTATTCAAGTTAGTAGTTTAAAGATCAAATCCTAATTGATTTAAAATTTTACAGATTATTCTTTACTAAACATAGTGATGCGACAAGGTAAGCTAAACTGTGGTAAACCGCCATTTGCTTGCTCTCAAAATGCTAACATTGCAACATGTTGTTACCCGCCATCTGCTTAAATTGTGCTGTAAAGGATCAACCAGCTTACATTCCTGCTCCTTACTCCACAGTGCTGCCCACTGGTTGCTGTGCCCCCATTTTAATAAACACTTCATGTTCCTTCATGAATAAAATCAGAATTAATACAAACATCTAACCCAAACTGTTTGATTTGAAAGATTGCAGACAGTCCAGACTGTATTTGTTTTGTCAGGAATGTTTGACCTTTAATGAGGATTAACAATTACTAGATGTGATTATAAATAGTGTTTAAATGTCTCAATTGATTCTTTTTGCTGCCATTTCTGAGTTGTCAGTGTTTAAAGTTGCCCAGAGCTGCTTTAAACTCTGCATTTACCAGCTTCAAAAACAAATCAGTTAATTAATTTTAAGGACCATTTTCAGCATGGATTAATTTAGAGACAATTTAACTTGCCTTGAATAGAAATTCAACTTGAAAATCAATTTGATTGGTGTGATCTGGGAACCTCGAATGCAGCATGTTGAGCTCAGGCCTTTCTCCACCACGTTTTCATGACATTTTGTTACACACCGTTTCCTGTATGCAGTCTGTTCCACTCCTTCAGGGAGAACCTCATCAGCATCGACGAGCTGATCAGCATCATGCGGCAGATCCAGAACATTCCCGAGCACAAGCTGCAAAGCATCGCGGACGCTCTCGACGACAACAAGGATGGGAAGATCGACATTGACGACGTCATCAAAGTACGTTGACAGAATGGCAGAAAATGAGGAATATCTCCCCGATTCATTTTGTTGTTTTCTTTTTTATTTAAAAACATCAACAATCAAACTTGGATTGTTGCTTATTTAGCCATGAATTGTTAATGTCATATAGAATCGACTGAAATCAAGTTTTTAGGGGCTCTAATGAATTCGTCTTGCATTATCTCAGGTGGTGGAACTGATCGACAAGGAGGACGTCGACATCTCCACCTCTCAGGTGGCTGACATCATGGTGATGCTGCAGAAGGAGGGGAAGCTGATGGAGAAGGAAAAGGCCAAGGATAAGGCAGAAAAAGAAAAGGCAGCCACACTCAACAGCTAACTCACTTTCCATAAAGACACTCGTAGCACCTGTAAAAAAAAAAAAAAAAAGACCACTGAGAAGTTTGTGACTGGTACCTGGTCACAGAAAACTCTTCTGGACAAGTCGAGAGAGAGTCACAAGGTAACAGCTGCCTTCTCAAAATGTAATTTCACCATAAATTGAACTCTTAAAAAATAGTTTAAAAATGAAGAAGGCATATTGCCTTTTCAACGCACAAAATCTAAAAGAAACTTAAATTGCCATTAAGTTAAACTGTTCTGGACTGATCGTTTATTATATGTTGATATTTGGTTTTGTGTAGTTTTATTGCTAGAGGGAACACAATGACATGAAACCGCGGTTGTTCTCCCAACTTTAGAGTTGGAAAAGGGGGAAATTCATCAAAGCTTACCTTTGGAAAATAATATTAGGAGATTGTTTAAAGTTTGAGGTGAACCGTCTTGCCTTTCATTTCATTTATGTCATCTCAGAGAAATGAGATATCATTTCTGGATTTTGCACAGTAAAAATCATTGTCTACACCTTCATTTCTTTTTTTGTTTATCTATCATACTCCCTTATTGTAAAGTAACGTGTTATTTTCCATGAATTGTACTTGGACAGGGTATCTTATCGCTGGCTATAGGTTGTTTAAATGGTGGCTGCAACCAAATATATCATTACTCAACATAGAAACCATCAACTGATGTGTGCAGGTTTAATGAGTTGAATTTAAAAGTTCTATATTCTAAGTCTAACAATAAAAAAGTCATAGCTTTAAGCTCATCCTTCCCACTAAAACAGATGTAAATGGAGGAGGATTCATGCTGTAGAAGTGTTGGATGTTTGTCCAAAAAAGCCAAAGACTGACATTAGCAACATTTAGATCAATATTAATATTTACTGTACTGTAATTCCTAATTTTGTACTTATTGCATAATAATCTTTTGTCCATTTTAGCACAGCTCTTCATATATATATTCCTATTGTGTTCAATAGCTCTCTGTAAAATGCCAAAGTTGCACTGTGGCACATTTAATGACAGATTCTGAATATTCCCTAAAATAAACAACCAGTTACTGATATTAATGAGCAGTGAGGATCATAATCAGTATAGGGACACTAAACCAGCACATCCAAGAGGTAGATTTCTGTTTCAGCAAGTAAACGTAAGTTGTTCTGTGGTTGTCTGGTCAGAGAGTGAAAGGGGCTTTTTGTGAATGTTAAATAGTTCTGTGTGCATAAGCAGTAATAACCATGGTAATCCATAGTTTAAATGCAAAGTGGCCTTCTCTTGACACAGATATTATAGATCATACACTGTTGTATATTTATTTTTTGAGTATTTTAAGACAATGGTAGAGCTCTGATATTGTTCTCTTTGAGGATTTACCTGATGTCATTTAGTTTTGGGCTGAAGTCTGGATGAACTCAGTTGTAAATCGTTGAGGCACAAACTGAGTCCTCGGTTTTGTTTCATTTGCACTGTAGCGGTGAATGTGTGCGGGTTGTAAACAGAAAGTGTTTATTTCAGATAGTATTCTAGTCAACTTCTGACCATTATATTCATCTTGCTCTTTCTGGTATTTCTTCAGCTGTGTTCACACTGCAAGCAGCTTGGCCATTGTATTTTATATTCCAGTTATGGTTGCAACTAACGATTATCTTGATCACATTTGACTCATTTGGTTTTATCATTTAATATGTAAAATTTGACAGAGATGTCATGACAGGAGCCCAAGGTGACATTGTTTTGTTGGACCAACACTCATTATCTTTGGGTTTCATTTATAATTATAGACGTTTAAATCAGCTAATGTTCAACATTTTTGCATAATAAATTACTTCTACATGTAATAAATGATTAAAACGTAATGTTCTGTCAATAAAATCATCAATTAATCGAATTATTTCAACATTAATTTCAATCAATGTTGGTCAATGTAAAAAGCTTTGTAACGTTAAAATATTTTGACTTTTACGCTGCTAGTCTATGAAATAACTAGAGCTGAGCAACCTGCGCCGATGACTGCAATTCAAAGCTTTCCAAAGGAAATAAATGGACTTTTTATCATGTTGCTTGCAGTGCGAACCCACAGTAAAGCGTTGATCCACCTTTACTGTTGAATTGAATTGAATATTGGTTAGTGTGTAGTCATCCTTCAGTAACCAGAGAAGAGCTCAGGTGTGAACATAGAAGACAGAGTGGTACTTGAGATAACGCTGAGTGGACGATTCTCCATTTAATCCGTTCCCGGAATCCGCTGTCAGACGTGCTGATGATTAAGAAGGCGTTCGTCTTCCATCAGGCACTGTCCCCAGTTCAGGCCCAGCTCTGCCTCGCCTGGGACCAGTCAGACTGATGGGTGCAGGGTAAACACTCGCCCCATACATGGGCCAAAGCCAGCCCCAGCGGAGGGTTGTGTTTAGGTTAGAGACGATCCGGCGGGACATGGCACGCTCTTTGCCGCATAAATCAGCAGTCAGTGTAAACACATCACGGGAACGTTGTGACAACTTCTCGATTACACTTGGCAGGAGAGAGTGGTGTTTGTGTCCCTGCGCCTTATAGGTCGGACTCAGGGCAGCGCTGTGTACATTAGCAGCACTGCCACTGTTTCTAGGCATGGAGGGCTCAAAGGTCGAATGAGGGAATTACCAGGATATGTAAGGATCATGGAGATCAATACTGAAGTTCCAGTGTGGGCTTTTAAGGTTTGGGAGGAAACCAGTAAGAAATACAGGGTGGTTCTTGAGAAAGGTTGACCCTTACTCAGCTCAACATCATCATCTGGCAAGGTGTTGTGCTGTCACATGTATCTATGTATCTACTTTTTACCTGGCAATTGTGGCAACTGAGGATAAATAGATTGTTTCTTTGATATTTCTCCACAGTTGTAAAAGCTTTACTTACTACTGTGTATACTATAGCATAAATTGTCCAGTGTTTTATTAACCTTCAAACGCACCAGAAGAGTCCAGTAGAGCTGAAACAATTAGTCAATTACTCAACTGGCAGAAAATTAATTGGCAACTTTATGATAACCGATTAGTCATTTACAGTATTTTTCAAGCAAGAATGCCAAAAATTCCCTACCGCTAACTTCACAAAAAGAAAAAAAAAAAATCTGAAGATTAATCGATTATGTTTCCCAGAAGACAAATGATCTTGAAAATATGAAAAGCTGTTTGTTTGTTTAAGCCCTGATAAGGGTTTTATTCATTATTTTCACTCCTGATTATTTTTTGCATTAATCTGTTAATCATTTAGTCTACGAAATGTAAGAAAATTGTGAAATTTTTTCTTTCATCTTTGAAGTGCTTGTTTTTGTCAAAAACCCAAGCATATTTAGTTTACAATGATATAAAACTAAAGTAGAAAAACCTCATATTTCACAAGTTGAATGTAGCGAATGTTTGGCATTTTTTGCTTAATGAATCTGCTCTTATATGCATAAGATGTGTTTTTACAAAGTCTCAAAACAGTCCATCATCTAAAGATATTCAATTTAGAAACAGAAAATTCACAAGCAGATTCTTACATGTGAGGAGCTGCGACCAGAGAATGTAATTTCTTCTTTATAAATGACTTAAACACTTGACCAATTATCAGAATATTTGAATTCGGACTCAATTTGTGTCACTGCAGTCCTCTACAATCATTTCATGCTCTGGTATGTTCTTTGTGAGGAATATATTTCAGCCATTTAAGTCAGTAATGTGACATGACAGTCATATTTCCCGCATGCTACCAGGATGTGATTACAAGATATGAAAACCTGTCAAACCTTCAGATGCATTCAAGAAATCCTGGAAAAATAAATTAGATTTTTGAAAAAGGAGACTATGCAGGAACCCTGATAGGAGTATCAGCAGAATGCCACATGCCAGTCACTGAATACAGACCCAAAACAAAAACAGTATGTTTGCTTTTATTTCCTCTGACATCTCTTAGTTACAAAACCCTGAAACGAAGGCTTCTGCAGCCGTGTGTGGTAGTTTATGATTGTGTGTCCTCGTGTTTGGCTGCGGTACAAGGAGTGGAGCAGTGTTTTATGACTCACCGCTGGCAGCAGTGTTGCACTGTGTTGTTGAAGCTGCTATCTTTAAAGAGAGTCTAACCTAAGGGAGGAGGAAAGGAGAGATGTAGTTGGCAGCGAAAGAATTATGACAGCAAAGTTAAACCAGTCGTTTTTCATTGTTGACAGAGTCCAGTAGCCAAGCCTAGAGTCGTTTCCTGCCTTGCTTTTACTTTTTAGTGACTTTAATTTGATATTTTAGACTAGTTAGAATAAGAAACAGCTGATTTTAAGCTTGCTGTCATAATTCTTCGACTGTTCTCCGTGGAGTATTACCACTGTGTAAATGCACTATTACAGAGAGTATACAGATAGTACAGATATTTGTGTATTAATGTATGGACTCAGGGTGTGAACGTCCAGTCTGATGTGGTTTGAGCAGCTTCAGCACCAGCAGGGAGCTGAGGTTGGCGCACTGTGACCTACAATACAGACCGTCCTAAAAGATTCCCGTTGAGTTTGAGGAGTTGTAGATCTTGTGTACTAGAAGAACAAATTTTTAAAGCAATAAGTCATTTATGCATCATTTAACTCTTTGAATTGTGTTTTCCTCCCCTTTTGAAGTGGAACAAGTGTGTTTAATTTGTTGAAATTATATTGTAATATGTAATTTAGAAGTTTTGGGTTCTTTGATATCAGGCTGATATTCTACTTATTTGGGAGTTGGTGCACTTGTAGTTGATTATTGTATTGACTTTTTGAAGATGGATGTACCCACGTTCTTTTCCTTTTGTAAGTATTTTGCACTAGCCCTTTTTATCACTAGCTATTAGCTAGCTATTTGTAGAATGAATAAGAACTTGACTTTTCTCTTGAGGTGGAAGTAAGGAGTCTGAAAGCAGGACCAGCAGGGGTTTTAAAGTCTGTCAGCTTCTGCAGATACAGACCTAAAAAGGAGCAGCTCAGACCTCTCTCAGGTTCATACGCAGCTCTGGAAACTGAAAATGAAATGAAAAATAGATGTAAAAAAAAAATTATTTAATTGCATTTTAGTGCAGCCACCATTGTTTAACACAGGAAACTTGTTCTGAAGTTGTGTTAAGGCTGAATGTGAAGCAAATTTCCCTCCGCTCTCGATTCATAATATGCAAGACTATTTTAATCAAGTAAAAAATGGAAAGAAGCGTTTGGAAGTGCGTCACTTTCTGTCTGAACACACAATAAAGAATCATTTTCAGCTTGTAAATGTTTAAAAGCCTCATGTTAGGGCAGTCACCATCAGTTTACATGACATTAAACCCCAAACAAAGTTTTCAGAAAATAGCAGTCCAGTGTTGATCTATTGAGGTTTAAAAAGAAAACAACAGAAATCAGGAAAAATCTCTACTCAGTTTGAAATGTGAGGGGACATGTTGCAGTATAATCTCTTAACCTGGGTACTTTATGCTTTTGGAATTAGTTAGTGAATCAATCTAAAATATTTCTCACTGGAGTTTTTGTTTTGGGATAATTATCGTGTTTATTTATTTATTTATTTAATCAAATTTAAAGTTTTTTTTTATTCATCTAGACCAAAACTGGATTTAGTTTTAGTTGAACTTGAATCTAAAATGTATTAAAAAAGCCTCAGTTTTCTTTTTTCACTCATCAAGTGTTCATGTAAAGAAACATTTACAAAATGAATCATAAGTGTTGAATAAATTATGGATGATCCTGGATTCTTCTTTGTTTGTTTGAGTTTGTTTTTTCCTGTTTGAACATCTCATATTTCTGCATCACTCATCGTATGTCACTCATTGCTTCCACGCAGCCATTTTAGGTTGTGTGTCATCTCTAAATCCTTCCACGCAGCCATCTTTTTATTATTTCTCATCCCAAACCCTCATTCCTGAGTTCTTACTAGCCTCGCCACACTCGCTGCCACTCCCCACAGCGCCTTCGTCCTCTGCCGCTGGAATGCAACCAGACTTATTTTTTCCAGCGACAATTTTAACTTCTGTGTGTAAGTGGTTGTTTTAACAGACTAAAGCAGGATACACAAACGCATAAAAGACATAAACTATTTAGGTTTTTAACCCTTACATGCAGCGATTGACCTTGTAATCAGGAACTTAAATCTCTTCCCGTTTCCAAGCAGTAGTAGTTTTATCCATCACGAAAATACAGACCTTAACTTATTGTGGCGGTCTAAACCCAGAACTAAAATCCCATGACAATAGAAATGAAAAAGGTTTGAAATTCTGCCATGAAGACTGAAATATCTACAGATGGTTTTGCTTGTAGGTCCATTTAAGATCATGGAAGCTCCATCTTTATCTTAAAGTCCCCCCTCCTGTCAAAGATCAGTTTTTCTTCCTTAAAGCGCAGAATGACATCTGTGCAGAGTTTGACTCTAGAAGGATGTTTTCACATTCATCTGCTGAAAGTGGAAAGTTTCTCTGTGCTCATTGAAAATCTGATTTTAAGGGGCGGGGCCTACCAGCATGATTTGTGACATCACATTTAAACTTTCACTGGATTTCCCATTTCCAAGGTTGTTTTGCTATTTTAGGCTGCACTAAGGAAATGTACGAAAAACATTTGGGCCTCAATCAGCGACAGTGAAATTTTGACGTTTTATGAATCTAGGTTTTGTGGACTTCAGGTTCTTTTTGACAAAGTGGCAGGGAAAGAGTTTGGATTTTACTTCCTTAATTTGCATTCATGTGGAGTGAAGATGACCAATGATCTGACAATCTGACTTGCAAATATAGAGACTCCCAGACCCCAAATGTTGGCCATTCCCTTACAAATATTTCAGATTTTTGCAAAGTAGATCATCATAGAATGCTGTACGCACTGGACGTGTTACCAACAAGACACAGGTCCACAACCTTCAGGCTTAATAAAGTTGTTAGTGTGGTCTTCAATTGTCTTTACTGCGCTGTCGCACTTGTCAGGCTGCAGAAGGTTTAGAATGGAGCAACGGAGCAGATGATGTGTAGATACTTATTCGCCAGAGGGCGTCACATGAGGCAGAGCCACAGGCGCCAAGACTAAAAACCATATTGTGCAATAGGAATGCTTTAAATCCTTGGACGCGACTGAGGCTGATCGTCTAGGATTGATTATTGCGTAGTTGGAGGTGAGCATCGCTGTGTGACGAATGTATTGGATACGTCAAAAGGAATTTGTTTGCCCACTGCCTGCCTTGCCCACAGTTTTGTGCTACTGCTCTCTCTAAATGTCTGATATAATCTCATCTCTCTCAGCTTAATACTGCATCCGGGTTTGTCATCAATATGTAAAAAATCTTTAAGTGTTTTTCTGTCTTTTATTTGTGCAGACTAAATGACTTCAGTTAAAAAAAGAAGTTGTAGGAAAAAGGACAGGAAAGTCGACAGGCAACAGTCGGTGCAGTCTGCACTGGGGCTTTATGTTACAGTTTGTGGCTTAAACCATTCTATCCTTTTCTTCGTAGACAGCAAACATCCTGGAGCTCATGAGCAAGTGCAACCTTTTTTGTCTCTTAAATCTTATTCTTTCATAGCACCATACACACAATTCACTTTAAGGCATCATAAAATCGTGGAGTGCTGAGATCATAAATGCGGACTAGTGTTGATTTCATTTACTCAGGGGTCATACAGGCGAGATATGGGTGAGGTCGGGGGGAGTTTGCTTTCTACTTGGCCAATGATACCAATGTACTGTAGTTTTAACATTCAAATCTTAGTGCAGCCTTAAAGGTCCTACTTAAGAAGGGATTTCTGGTTCATGTTCTAGAAGGTGTTTTCAATGGCATTGGTGGTGAGGC